TCCTAACGAGATCCTAACATATGGGTATGTTAAACCTTAGGTCCAATGGTTCCCAAATGATGAAGGGCCCCCAACCGACCCCTCTAGGATCGCTTGGGGGCTCGGGGGCTATACCCATCGGGTACGCTTGCGCGCACCCTCTAAGAAGAAATCCGGCCAAACCTGACTCCACCACGACCTCTACTTGAGGCTCGGGGGCTTGCTCGAGCCCTAAGAATCCTGATCTACGATGACACTTCGGCCCAGCCCTTGGCTCTTGCCCCACCAACGACGCAAGCCAAGGCCCCGGCGTAAGAAGACACGCCTTGAGCTACCTAGGCTCGGGGGCTCCCGGCGCTGCCCCTTGGGCATGACATTGCCGGCCACTTTTCTGACAAGGTCACACGCGGGGCGTCACACAAGAAGACAAAGCTTCCAAGCGGCCTCCAGGGGCTCAGAGGTCCCGGGCCTGTGAGTCAGCCCCTGAAGCTAACCTCCTTCACCGCCAAGAAGACTCTAGAAGGTCCACCTAGGGGAGGCCGGTCCAAGCCAACATAACCTAACACGCAAAGTGTCAAAACAGAGCAGCCGGACGAAGCCCAAGGCTTCTTTGGCTCCACGACACCGCCATAGTCCATAGCGCATCGCTGCAAGGCCCTCCTAGACTCCGGCGCATGTAGACCATAGACTAGTTCCCCCAAACCACCATATACCTGACCTATCTCGTTATATAAGGGATAAGGTCGGATCTAGGAGAGGGAGAAGGGGACGAGACAGATCATTCGACTCCATTCGATTCGCTTAGCACCGAGAGCAAGGCAACCCACGGAGGGGCACCGATAGCTCCTCCACCAAATCCTATCGTCTTCCTCCTCTCCAATGAGAGAAAGACTCCACCAGTGGCAAGACAACCTTAGGATTAGCACCGAGCTAACCCCCTACCAAATCTCTCTACAACCCTATTGTAACCCCTCGATTTTGGGTGCTTTTGAGTATAAGGATCATCAGCTGCTGGACGTAGGGCACTGATTGACCCGAACCAGGATAAATCGTTGCGTCCTCTCTATGATTCTTGTGTTCTTGTGTCTACCCAAGCCACCAAAGACCCGTACTCTGACAATCGACTCGAACAACATGCTTGCCGTGTGTCGGTGTTTCGAACAAACATCGGCTAGTGAATTTATAATTATTGCGCGTTAGGCCTGGATGGTGCACTAAAGGACACAAGGTTTATACTGGTTTGGGCTGAATGTCCCTACGTCCAGTCTGCTGCTCCTCATGTTATTAGTACCGAAAAGGTTCGTAGTAGGGGGTACAAACGATCGAGAGAGGAAAAGGTCCCAAGTCTCTGAAGGAATGGTCGAAAGGATGCCAAGAGCTTGTTCACTGCTTGGTCGTATGCATGATGTGTTGTGTGTTGGACTGGTCCGTCAAAAGTCGGTCTCTTTAATGGGAGGTCCTACCCTCCTTTTTATAGAAGGGGGAGCAGGGGTTACAGATGGGAGAAAGAGGAAAATACCAAAGGTATAAAAGGTCCTTTGAGAAAAAGTCTTCCTTTTTCCCTGTGCCTGCCCTATTTTAACATGGCATACCGTGTTAGAGGTGGCGTGTTTGCTGATCCTCGTACACCATACCCTGGCCCCATTTAGTAAGTGGGTGCGTCCCATCCTACGCCGGCAGATGGTGCGGCGTGCCGGAGAGCCGAGCTGTGACTCCTGGTTGTTTGGTTGTCTGTGCTACTAAGTTTGCTAGCGTAGGGTGTGTTTGGCTGTCTAATTTGCTTTGCACAGTGTCACCTCTCCTTTGAATGGGTAAGTGTACCTCTTCGAGAAATTTGATCGAACGGGTGGTGGCCATCCTTGGTGGCAGCGGCAGGAGGAGCAGGGCGAGCACATAGGCAACGACAGCACCAGCAGCATAGGCCGACGGAGTTGGCCGCCATAGCAGCAACGCTGATTTGGTGGTCGACTGCGGGCCGACGGATCAGAAGAGAGCCGCAACTGCCGCAGGTAAGGGCAGCCCTATGCTGCTATGCAGCAGCAACTCGTCTGCTCGTGGCACAGGGACAGGCCTCCAGCTGGCTGCATGGCCGCAGCACGGCATGGCTCCATGGCCGCAGCACGGCATGGCAGCAGCGCGAGTTCCCGCGGCCATCAGCACGGCACCACCGCGTCACGCCTGTGCCACACGAATTCCATGGCCGCGCGAACCCGTCTGCGCGATTGCGCCGCCGCATGAGCCAGCCGCCGAGCTTGCCGCCATGCGCCGCCTCGCGAGCCTGCCACCGAGCTTGCCGCCTCGCGCAGGAGCGTGCAGAGGAGTGCGAGCGGACGACCGGCAGGCGCAGAGAACCGGGCGCGGGCGGTGACGACACTTCAACGCCGGCTTAGCGCCACGAAAAAACGGATCTCTATCTCGTTTTTTTTAAGCTTGGCTAAGGCTAAACAGCCTGTTCGTTTGCTCGTAAACGATCGTAAATTTCCAGTCGAGAACAGTGTTTTTCTCTCACACCAAACCAGCCAGCAGTAAATAATCCACGATACGATACAGCCTTCCGAACAGGCTGAAAGTGGCTTACCTGGACTAGCTACGGACTATTTATAGATAATCAAACAACTGAAAGCAGGCTTCTTGAAATCTAGTTATGAATTAGCCACCCAGCTAAACAGGTCCATAAAACCTAAATAGGTCGCTTGAACTACTTTTTAGTCAATTTAAAAACACTTTTGGCTTATTCTTTCTCACAGTACACTATTGAATCAATCGAAATCAGCCAATTTATATACCAGCCGAACAGACCCATATCTTCTATCATATTTGTTTTCAAATACTTTTGGCACCGCTATCGATCTCGTTCGTGTCTTGGGCGCGTTTGCGACCCTGGCCCGACGGTCTGGCTGCGCCCTCCGCGTGCAACTTCCCGTGTTTGCGAGCTAGGGCCCACCAGCGAGCTAGGCCCAAACGATGCAAATCGCACTCTCTCTCATGGCTCCCAGGAAACGCGACTTTCCTTCATTTCTTCAGAGCCTGGCTCGTTGAAGCGCGTCTTGGGCTCGCGTGGGCTCGTGGTGGGGATGGAATCACCTCCGACTCCTTTCTTTCTCACCCACCGCGCGGAGTGGCGCGTCTGGTCGGTCGAGCGGCTCTGTCGGTGGTGGCGAGCGGCTGGCCGGGATGAGGCAGGAGGATGAGGGAGGCGGATGCCGGGATGGGAGGGGAGGAGAGGTGGAGGAGGATGAGGAGGTAATGGAGTCGGATGTGGCGGCGAGGCGTGGGGCGAGGGAGGGGAGGTGGAGCGGCACAAGCAACTCGAGCGGCGTCGTCGCCGTTCGCGTCATTGGATCGCGGAGTCGCCGCCGCGTTGCCGCTTGGCGGGCGTGGCGTTGGCGCGTGGCGTTGCTGCGATGCCGGCCACCACCCGCCACCGCGCTTTGCGGCGCTGCGGCACGGCAAGGCGGCCAAGCGTGCCGCCGCCGAAATGCGTGAGGCCGCAAACGGCACACTTCTATGGTATAGGCACGCAAACAGGCCTCGAATGCGGCTGGTCCGTTTACGCGCGAGCAAACAAGAGCAAGATCGATTGTGCGTTGACGCGCGTCATGCTGCGGGCAGTAAGCCGACGCAACCACCTCGCAACGGTAAGCGACGTGGATGACACATTTTTACGCCGGCCACCACCACCCAGGCCATTGCAGCAACCTGCGCTGAGCGCTCGTGCCACCAAGCTGCTCGACGAAATGCCTGTGAGGCCTTCTCTGGTGGTAAGGCTACCAACCCACACTTCTATGGTATAGGCACGCAAACACGTTCTGAATGCAGCCTGATCCGTTTCGTAGGTCAAACAAGCAAGAATTTGCAAAAATCATCTTCATCCAAGACCATATAAAAGCATCTTAATGTATCTTTTTAATATAAAAGTATCTTAATGTATAAAATCATCTTCATATTAAAAAAGATACATTAAGATGTTTTTATACAGTCTGGAAAGATGATTTTATATGAAAATTGTAATCTTAGATCTGTTAACAGGTTGCTTTGTATTTTAAATCTAGCAAGGTTAACTTTGTAGTTTTGAGTTTTTAATTTGAGGTCATTAAGATGCTCAAAAATTAAATAATATTTTAACAAAGGGCGTAGCTTATTTGACTGGAAAAAGAGAGATTTCATATATGGGGGTCAAATGGAGATACTTTATATATAAAATTGTAGTTCTTATTGAGCAACGTTTAGTTTTGAGTTTTTTTAATTTGAGATCTTTAAACTTAAAAAAAAAAAACCCTCGCAAACGCACCCAATCAAGAGACGTAGCTTCTGCCATATTTTTTATTTTTTTTAAATACTTTTGGCACCGGTCAGTATCAATGCACCGACACAGAACATATAATATTTTATATAATTTTAGATTATAAGTCACTTTTGCTTTTCTTTTACTTTTCTAAATAGATAGCGTTTAATATACACCTAAACATAGTCTATATCCGTTGTTTCATCGATAACGCAAATAGAAATGAAATTAGTTCAAATCCCATTTAGAGCCTACTTAGTTCACTTCTAAAATTCAAGTCATAATTTTAGCTAGTATTTGATTTGCTACCAAAATTTATCAAATTGTCCCGTTTAACTTGCCAAATCTAAGACAATTTTTTGTCTAAATTTTAATTACCAAATCTTTAGCATGACAAAAAATTTAGAAGGGAACTCTCTTACTTTCCATTTACGTTACTGCTGAACCAACCAAACAGCATGTAAGTATATAACAAAAACAAACCAAGAAAGTGACTACACTCACAAAGGGGGGAAAAAGAAGAGAGATTTGTTTCTAGTGTCATTTTCAACTGAAATCAAGAGTTGAGTTTCTTTATCTGGAGCGATAGAGAAATCTTATTCAGTTGGATCTACCACGACCTAGTCTTTCGAAAGCAAAATGTGGCTCCTCGACACAAGCAGAGAAACAGAGCTGAACACGAACAACAGAGGTAGATATATACTATTACATCCTGTTACAGCTACCACGGACCGAGCTACTTCGCTTCACGCGAGCCCTCAGCAGGATGCTTCTCTGGGTCACGGCCGGCGGCGGGGTCCCCGTGGCCGACGGCGACCTTGGCCACTTGGGTGGCGGGCGTGCCGGGCCTGGCCTTCTCGTACAACACGAGGTAGCCGATGACGCCGACGATTCCGAACCCAACCAGCGCCATGGTGCCGGGACCATACGGCAGCCGGCCGCGCTGGTGCAGCACCTCTCCGGGGCCCCGGCCCGGCGGGCTCATGGACGCCTCCACCGCTGCCGCACCGCACGCACCTCCTCCGGGCTCATCTTGTGCGTGTCGGCGTTGCGGCGCCACTCCTCCATGCCGCTCTTGGCCGTTGCGTTTGCGTGCTCCCCCTCCCCCTCCCCCTCCCCCTCCGTGCGGCGTGCCACTCCGACTCCGTGCTGCGAGACAAGTGCTGGGATACGGCGACAAGCTAGCTTTGTAAACTGCAGTATAATATAAGGTGCAAAGCGACGTGGCGACGTGGCGTCAAGAATGGAACACGTAGCGAAACACGTGTTGGACATCCAAGCGACACTATGACCTGCTGTGCCAGATAGTGCTGGCTGGTATTAGAAAGAGAGGATTGTTTATAGTTATTCGGTGCAATGCGTACTACTAAGGCCCCGTTTGGGACGGCTTCCGCCGACTCTGGCTTACCTGACAAAATACTGACAAAGCCGGTTTTCTCCCTCCTACTTTTCTGTGTCACTGTAGCACGTTCACTATAGCACGCAGGGAAAAGCCAGGAAAACAGGCTTCTCCGGCTTCGATGAACAGTGCCGATGTCAGTGAGAGAGGGAGGAGAGGAGAGAGAAAACCGGCTTTGCGCTACAGTATTGCTACAGTGTCGCGATCAGAAAAGCCGGAGATGACGAAAGCCATCCCAAACGGGGCCTAAATAAGAATAGAAGACACGTATGATGCATCGACGTGCGGACCCACGCTATGTTGTGGATACGTCGTCTTGAGGACAGAAACAATCCATTATGCTAGTAGAATATATTATTTGTTTTGAATGGACAAAGGCTATTTTTCACCCTTCAACTGAGGTCCTGTTCGCATGTCTTTAAACTCGGCTTGATCTGCTTATTTTTTCATCTAAAACAGTGTTTTTCTCTCATAAATTCCTCTGGCATTCTTCCAAACCATTCAAATTCCTTCAAAATTGAGACAAGCGAACAGGCCCTTACACGATAGTTTCCCATTCTCCAACTTACATGTACGTCTGATTTTCAGCTTTAAAATACAAAATTAGATTTTGGACGCTTGAACTATTAAAGCTGGATAAATTTGGTTTCTCTATTTCCTAAAAATAATAAGAAAAAACAGATTTAATATCTAAAAATTCGTAACTAATTTGTTTGAAATCAAAAAAATGTAAACTACTAGTACCATTTTTTCCAAAATTGTTACCTATTGGGTGATCTAGCTTTGAAACTTATTTATCTTTCTTTCTATTGTTTATAGTTGTGCTCATCATTTATTTAAATAATCGTTTTGTCCTATATCAAATCTACTAGGTATCGACCAAGAGGATCTGGTAGACTATTTCGTAACACCATTAAGTAAAATTTGATATCGCATACTAGGTTCGGATGGGATAGTACATAAGATACTAAGGGGGTCATTTAGATTCTTTCATTTGATGAACTAAAATCTACTCAATAGATTAGACTATTTAGCTTGAAAATTAAGATTCCACAACTTTCAAAGTTCACATATAAGCCTATCTTAAATTTATAGGGTGGGAGATACAAATTGATTCTAGCTATATTTCTACACTTCCACTTATAGCACGCTCTTCAACTCGCTTCCCTATAGTACAAATACAACATATAATCATATCTCTTACATGGCTAACAATAGTATACAAATATATTTCATATACAACTATAATAGCTTAATTAATATGTGCTTCAATTATAATTTATTAGAATGAATTCAATTCCAAAGGTCTAAACAGGACCTAAGTGTATGTTTGAAACATTTGAATTTCACAAAAAGTCAAGCAAGAATTTCACATAAAATATGTAGGAATAAAGAAATTTTCCATCGTTCCAAGCCCTCGAGCAAGCGCACTACATCCACAGTGGATAGTGATTCTCATATTGTTATGTCCCGAGTATCTTTTCACGCAGTTTTGGTATAGTGATGGCTCAATCGGCCTTGCTTTTACCTACTTAGGGCCTGTTTGATGTTTGGGCTGCTGGTGCTGGTTTTTTGTGAGAGGAAAACACTGTTGACTGGCTGGTTTGGGCTGAGCTGAAACCAACCAGCGAACAGGCTGTTAGTTGTCTTTAAACTCGATGATTATGCACGAGTCTAGATATCCGTCACTATGAGTACTAAGAAATAGTGAAAGTCAATACCAACCTCACTGATGCCACTATAGACCACATATATAGATCTTATTTAGATCAGTCTAAGTGGGAGTTCATCTAAGTTTTATTTGCATTTAATACTGTGACACGTCAACAAATTTGATGACTTAGATTGTTAATAATGAAAAGAGAGATAGAGAGAGTTTCATAGAGTTTTATCAATATGAACCCTATCGGCACAATTACCAACATAAAAACTAATGTGACAGTTTTAGTAACTGTACTATAAAACATCTCACTGAGACCAGCCTTAAGCATTGCATGGCTAGCACTACAAAGGAGCGCCTTAAACATCGTGCAATCAAGTAGCGATGCGATCAATATAAACTAGAGAGCAAAACAATAATTTAAATGAATAACAAGTGTGACTACAAGCAATTTAAAGCAATAGAAATTGGACAAAAGATACACAATCTCCCTAAAAAAACAGTACCAGTTTTGTATTTTTTAATTTAAATGGATTTTAGGTTAATTTCAAAAAAATTCAAACCACCTTTATAACCAGCCGGAGGAAAATTGGTGCTGCCGTTAAGTTATTTTGCAGATAGTTAAAGGACATTCACTACCGGAGACGGCTTCTTTGCCGAGTGTCCCACACTTTGTCGAGTGCTTTTTATCGGGCACTCGACAAAGAGGTTGTTTACCGAGTGCCAGAGATAAAGCACTCGGCAAATAACTAACACTCAGCAAAGTGGGTGAATGGCAGGAGCCATCCAAGCTATTGTGGTGATGTCCATGAACAAGTCGGTAGTCTCTTAACACGTTGGGTGTGAGAGCTGAGTATCCTACAGCCTGTTCGTTTGGTCGTATTTGGCTTATAAGTCATGGCTTATCAGTCAACGAACAATATTTTTTTCTCACACCAAATCAGCCAACAGTACTTTCAGCCATGGCTTATAAGCCAAACAAGCCCAAACGAACATGTCGCCAATCAGCTACTCCCTTTGTCCCAAAATAGAAAACGATCTCGCTCTATGAGAAGTTAATTTTTTAACTTTGACCAATTATATATAAAAAAATATTAATATTTATAATACATAATTAGTATTATTTGATAGATCGTTGAATATACTTTCATAAGAAACTTATTTAGATATATAAATGTTACACGTATTTTCTACAAACCTAGTCAAAGTTGAGAAAGTTTGACCTGCATGCATCCCATAATATCATCTTTGTAGGACGGAGGGAGTAGACTACAACAGATGCTCCACCTATGCCTTTGGTCATTTTATTTCTTTCCACATGTGTAATCCCGTCGCTCCATAAGAGCAAGTATAATAAGGGGCTGTAAATGGGTTGTATGCTGAGGTAGAGGAGAGAGGGGAGGAGAGAGAAGAGAAGCGGGTTGTAAGCTTACAGTCAGCTTATGCATAAAAACTAAAAAATGTTGTGAGACAGATAGGTGGGCTATAAACTAGCTAACTATTATACCAGTGGGCTATTAGAGTGGCTGTAAGGCCAATCTCAGTGGATAGTTTCATCACGTTGTTTTCAAGACTGCCATGTCATATACAATGAAATAAAACTCGGATAAAACACCCTCACGCAATGCAAAGTTTTATTCTAAAGTTTCATAGACATTTAATTTCAAGACTCATAGAGAGTTGATAATCATGTCATTTTCTCTCTCTTCTTAAATACACTGTCGTGTCATCAAAAATGCCTATGTGGCAACCTATTTAATGCAAATAAAACTCATATGAAACTTCCACAGAGACAAGTCTAAGTTTTCTTATTATTAGTCTTGCTCTAAAGTATACCCAGCTATTAGCAGCACGGTTTAGCATAAATGCTACCGACAAAATCCTAGAAACACCTAATTCTTTGGATTTAAATTGTAACTTATAGGTTGTAGAAAGTACTCCCAAGAATTTGCTTGAGCTTGCCTTGCACAGAACACCACATATGAGTTAGGAGGTCAAACATTACATGTTGGACAGTAAAACACATTGAAGGTGTCGGCAAAGCTAAAGGATGGACCATCCTCCAAGGTTTTGATACATTTCTGCACATACGAACGACTAGCGGACAATTATCTTATTTGTTGGATGAGCCATGGAAAACATGTTACATATATATGTACATGATGCAAGAAACAGAACTGCTGCTTTCTGGCTGAAATTTTAGAGGTACATTGCACATGGAAGATGAAAGTCCTGATTTCACATTTGGTCAGAAATCCGTAGTCCACAATATATAGATTAAAAGGGTGGATTGATATAGGGGAACAAGTCTCTGCATTACATCACAATACTCCTAGCAAACCAAATTAATGTCACTTGACTTCTCTCATCTTTAGTATCAACAAACAAAAGAAGAGGGGGAAAATAGACTATCACTCGAGCACAAAAAGCATTCAACTTTCGGTTAATACCCTTCACACAAATCTATCACACAACAGCACAAGAAAGACTTTACAAGGCGCCTTCCTTTGACAGATTCCTTTATGATGACGAACACCAACTATTGACATGTCACCGTCAGAGAAGGCTGAAACATTAAGCATTGTGCTCAGTATTTGCATGAAAGAATGCCCATTCACTCTGCTCACTCACCCACTAACTACTTTTTTCTCTACGTTGACATCTCACTTTATACGCACGAATTTACATCCATAGACAACAGTCACCCAATCAACACATACTTGTCGATCCCGTGGCCCAGTAAAAACAAGCACGAAGGAGATCTCATGGAGTATTAACTGATTGTTACCTTGTGCAGGTAGTTAGCTGTGTAGGTTTGCAAACCGTGTCAGTTCATGTTGAGACAAAAACAAGTCCGTTTCACATCACTTATGAGGTTTATGTGGAAGAAGTTGAGGTCTGGGCCTAATCCTCGTGATTGTTTCAT